AATCCACCATATTAGGGTGATTCAGAAAAAGGATTCATAACTTCAAGGTTCGATAGTACTCGCGAAATGCTGAAGAAAAGATCCTAATAAACATAGGTCGAAAAATTAATATTTACGAAGTTGTAAACAGTTTTTTATGTCGGTTAAAACGAGTGATTGTTGATTAACGGGAGTTATCATACCGTATGTAAGCAATGGATTACCTTATCATTTCTTCATTTCCTGGTTACAGAAGGTTTTCTACCATTTCTATTAACAATTTTTTACAAATTTCCTCAGTGTCTCCATACAGCACGATAGCATCTAAACCGAGAACGTCACTCGCATTAACCGCGACAAAAAATTGTTTACTGCTTTGAAAATATTAATTTATCGACCCACGTTTAATCAATACTTGTTTCATCATTTGACCAGTACTATCTACCCTAGAACTTATAAACCCTTCTTTCTAATCACCCTGTATATACAGATTCTAGTGTAAATATTTCACTGTAATTTTTCATACATTATTTTGTCACCCAAAAAAATTCCTGAGATCACCGTGTCTCGACTCTTATGGGTCAGACACCTCGCCAGAATTCGCCCTTTCCCCAAACGATCGATGGATCCTCGTCTACACGTGATTTTCAGTGAAGACCGACGGTGACGTGGGTCTCGAACGCGGGGCAGCACTGTATAATGTCGGCTGTTTATCCGCGAGTGTGATGTTCCACGGATTTCGCTATTCTCATCGGGTTCTGGCCGGCTGCCAGAGACCTAAAACTGGCCCGGCCCGACTTCCACCGCGTAGAGCGGGAAAATAGAAGAGCCGTGCAGAATTATCAAGGCCGTAGACAGTTCGACGAGCGAAAACGACGAACAGCTCGGATAAAGACGAAAAATGCAAATTACGTTCTTCGTGGTAGCGGGCCCGCGTCAATCCTCGTGGTTTGACGCAGCATTCGATCTTGAAATAATCACGATTCGACGGTCTCGATCCGCTTTCACGACGCACAGTGGTACAGAACGCCGATTTAGGAGTTCAGGAGCTTAATTTGGGTGTAAAAATGAGAATTTCGGAACCAAATTTGGTAAGCATATATTAAAGATTCATATTTATCAAAAGCACACTAAATTAATAAGTAATGTTTGTAAATAATAATTTTTTTTACGAAATTATCATTGTCAATCACAGGTTCTCTTAAAAAAACTTATTATTAAAAAACATTACTTATTAATTTTATATTTTTTTTAATAAATATGAACATTAAAGAAATTCCCATTTTTACATCCAAATTAAGCTTCTGAACTCCTAAATAGGCGTTCTGTATCACTGTGCGACGGTTTTTCTTGAGCAGCCGAACGCCATTTTAGGCTCGAGTCGTGATGACGCAGGTACGGCGTGATCTCAGACCATGGCTTATTATGGACGATGATGTTCGATGATAAGAACCAAGAGGAAGTTTTACAGATTTGTAATTATTCGTTCCATATGAAATACATAAAAGAACACCAGGGAATTATACATTCAATTTAAAAGCGGAATCAACCGTGTCTGTTTATCTCATCGTCCACTTCCGTCCTCCTGTCGATCCATCGTCACCGTTCGCGATCTTCCCCGCTGTATAAGCACTGTCTGGGAAATCAAATTCCCTCGGAGCCGGGAAGTAGGGTCGGATAGCGAGAGCAGCTCGAAAAACGCGCGAACGCGTCGGTTTCCAACAAAAATCTGTACGTGACTCGGGGATGGGAGCGCCTTGCGTCTTAAAGAGATAAGCCGGCGGCATCATCTTCCCAATCCACCTCATATTCGGTATGGGCTGCCTTATGCTACGTCTTCTGGTCTCAAAAGGGTCTACAATAATGATGGCGATACATTTGAGTTATATCGAGATATTTGGTATCGATACGTGTTGATACCCAGAGTATCAATAATAGTGATGGGCGATACATTTGAATTATATCGATACCAAATATCGATACGATTCAATCATTGATTACAGGTATTGGTACCTAGAATATCGATACACATGTATATCGGGAATAAAATATCGATATTATCGGTATCGATACTTGCAATTAAACTATAAGTAATAAAATCAAAAAATGAAAATTAATCATTTAGTCAAGCATACTTATAGATTAAGTATAGATACTGGAATAGATCGTCACATAACGACGGAAGTTGCATCGATCATTTCAAAGACAGTTGCATCGTTTCTGAATACGATCGGTCTCTGCGACTGTCTGTGTAACTTGTAGAACTTGATGTACGATAAATCGTGTCGTCTGTGGGCCGTTTAACTGAATTTCATCGTCTGGCCGACTCGAATGGGAACACGACAAATGTCATGGGATGATCGAGGTCCCGTCTGCGGCCACGTCTGAATGTTTTCATGTTTACTTTACCGTTTCTCTCTCTCTCCATTGATCCTCGACGTCTTCTTTCCAGGAAGACCTTCGGCCCGGTCCACGTGCGCGCCGAACAATCCCGCCAGCGTCCGTTACTCGCCCCGTGATCCACGTGCGGACGAACCGGACGAACACGGCGGGACCGATTGAAATCTCGGATCACAACGACCGGATGATCGACCGATGATGATCTTCCGACCCGTCATTTGCCCCAGACACGGCATCACGGGGCGTCTTTGTCTCGGACGAAAACAGGTGAAAGTTTCGACATCGAGCATCGGTTGTATATCAATTCGACACTAGAGAAGATCGTGAGACGGTGTTTGTACTGTAGATTTCAATAAATGGGACGATGACATTTTGCTTTTCCACAAGTGACGCTTGGGCGTTCATGAGGATCGTTAACACGTAGACAGCCCCCAGTGAAAAAGATCGTACGTAGCCAGACATGTTTTATTTCGTTTTTCAACACATTCAAAACAGGCGATAATTATTTTGTACACTGACGTGCAAACTCGGTTTTCCGTAGGGCAAAAAGTGGCGTAGGGAAAGAGCCTCCTACCAGACAATAATCGAGTGGAGTCTGTAGTTCGAGCAGCGTGAGCAATGAGTCTGGCAATGACACAGCTTGAGGTTCACGGATATTCTGTATTTCCTGAATAACAACGGAACTCTGCATCGACCAGACTTCTAGTCACGCGAGCTCGACGAAGCAATCAACGGACCACAGAAGAGGACACACATTCCAGGTGGAAGCGATCCCATAACGCAATCGTTGTCGCAAACGAACGGCACACACGACAATTATTTTTATCGTCCAGGAAATCCGCTAATTTCCTCTCAACGGTCACGTCATTATGGGTAATGAGGAACGCTCCAGGAGATTGTCGAATTAAGAATACGGAACTCCGAAACCTTTCGTCGATCTCGAGCATACCATTGCTTTCTAGCCAGTAGAGAATATTTTGCCTTCTTTTTTTGTATATCCTAAGAATCTCGACAGCGTGAAGTTCGTGGTCCTCCACGTGTCGTTATCATTATGACAGTGTAAACGTTACAAAGCAAACATTACCAATAATCGTTAATTACACGACAATCGAGAGATACTCTAATCACGTAGGAATCCTATGAATTCACAGATGTCTTAAGACCCACAGGAAATTACTACCTAGAATCTACATCCTTCAAGCTACCGATTCATCCACAGAAATCGTAGTTTCGACGGGGAATACCAAGGTCGTCGTCATCAAAACGAACCAACTTTCACCAACTCTGACAGAAAGTGTTAGTCGCCGACTAGTCGCGTACCGTCGTGGTTCAATTTCCGTGGTTATCTGGTATTCACCACTCGACAGGTGGTGAATTCGGGCTCACGCAGTGGTTCGTTAACGCGACCCCCGCGGATGGCGAAGCTGGTGAACAGATGGAACGAGGTCAATTGCAGAATCCGGCACTCGATTCGTTCATTACCGTATCGACACTGATCCCCCCACCCCTACCACACTTATCGTTCAAGTACAGCCGAACAAACGGCAACGATCGACACCGCCGATTCCACAGTTGGTTCGGTTCGCTTATCTCTCGCACGTACACGCCTGACCCCGTCCACTATCGTTGTGTATGGGTGTGTTGACGGTGACCGCGGATCCCAGTATCGGTGTAACCAGTGATATTTTCCCCTGGCCTCGAGGTGGATCGCGAAATTACCGCTCCGCTGCATGCTGCTTTCTTTTTTGTTTTTTTATTTTTTGTTTCGGTATTACATTATATCGAGTGGTTTTTTTTTGTGCGATTTTATCAGTGTTCTGTATCGCACATCTGTGTCTGGGTACAGCTGCTTCGGAGATATACTGTGTTAGCCATAAACCTGACCGACCCTAAAGTTTATATTATTTTTTATATTTTTTTATTGTATTATTTTTGTTTCGGTAGCGTCATTCGATACCCTTGAGTTACAACAACTGTGCTTGACCGTCGTTCAGGTCCGTACGACGTCAATTTGAGATCGGTTTTTCCGTTTTAATGTAATTAAACAAGTTCTTATAATGTATGTAATTTCAGATTTTAAATACTTCTGGCCCTTTTATTCTTGAACGCCCGCGAACGAAACTGATATAGAAAGTTCGGTCCCAAATACTAAAATGTTGAGAAACGCTGTTTTAATGACTAAAACGAATCTCTGACGTAATTTTACTTCGGTAAATTAACCTGTAGAAATTGAAATTTGCATAAAGATAGTCTAGTCATTACCCTATGCATTATTCAGTCAGAGATAGGAAGTCCCAGAACATTGGAAACAGCCCTTATAGATCCTTCGAAATCAGGCTTTCTCTCGAAACACCGTCCGCTGCGTCAGGCCATCGGTCTTAGTCTCTCTTATCGGTGTTATCTACTATCTACAACGAACGATTGTTATTCCGGTTACGGGACACACTATACTGTTGCCGATGTGAATTGCGGCACGATTCCGTCGGAATAATTGTTATTACGTTATCTGGTGCCATGCGCTAGCCATTGTGCAACGCGTCAGTGGCTGACAACCGCGAGGGACAAACACACATACACACGTATTTCCGTGGGTTACATTCGTTCCGTTGGAAACCAGGAAGATGTCTGGGACCGTGAATCCAGCGTTCGAGGTAGTCAGTATATCATATCAACTGTCTATCGCTCGTGACCGATAACCTTCGTTTTCGTATGTTTTTCCGTAACACCTGCGTCAGCTTGTGGTACTTTCACTCGGCGACCTTAGATCGATATATGGTAGATATTGTTCATAAGAAGACTGCGGAACTTTGTGGAGAATAACATTTTTCGAAGTGATTAGTTATATTCGTAAGGTTGAATTAGATTGATCGATCAAGGCTCCAGGTGGTACTGATCAATTATCATTGGATAAATTATAATAAAACCACGTTGTCTTGGTAGGATAGCGAGCTGAACATGCTAGAGGCTGGCCTGCGCGTCGATGGTCCCGCGAAAGACAAGGTATGCGGTACGTCGTCGTGTGTATAATTTCCTGTGGAATGCCGCTATTTCCTGGAATCGACAATCAATCGTCGATGTTTACAACGATAAAACGTTATTACTCCTGATGTTGCACGTTTCCATAGGTGGTCAAAATAAAGTCTAGTTTTAGTAGTGTGGGAATGAATTTTAAGAAACAGTAATTGTCAGGGAAATAATTGAAATATTATAAATAAAAATTTATTTTGTACCTTGGATTTGCTACTACAAAATTATCAGGATCATCTAGAATAAAGGGATTTATCGAAATTAGAGTTCATATAATTAATAGTGTTAGTCTAAATATGAGCTAGATGAAAGTACAGTGGAAAGTACAACCCCTCTACGATAATCCTTCGTATTTTCTGCTAAAGAGTAGATTGGCCTTGATGTCTTTCATTTCTCGCAGGAAAACATAGAAGACCGTGAATCTGTCGGTTGTTTGGCAGCAGGATACAACGCATTCAGCGTGTTCCTGTCGAGGCACCAAAGGATCGTCAGGTTGCTCTCTCTGCTGGTGTTCAACGCTGTGGTGGTGATCTACTTCATTTTCGCCACTCAGTATTGGAGAAACTACAGTAGGTTAACTTGATTGGCCCACTAACAACAATGCAACCAGACATTGTGAATATTCACAGAAATCTGTCGAACGCAATCGTCGCCAACTTTTAACACTTTTACTTTACTTTTACAAAGGGTTATTTACCCTTTGATTTTACCTATAAATGACAATTAAAGAAAAAATCATCACGTTATATTACTTCGCCTATCTGTGAGTTTGCTACCAGAATTTATGAGTGGGACTGAAAACTAAAATTAAGAAAAATTTACCATAAAACTGTGATAAAAATAATGATAAGGAGAATATCTAAATGGAAGTTGCATAAGAGTTTGTACCTAATTGTTATTTCAAAATTATCTGAACAAATGTATGAATCACTATATCTACCCTAGAAGTTATGAACCCTTTTTTTTTTTTATATGAGATCACTATAACAACTACATTTATCAGATCAGGAATATGGGTTCAACTGGTGCCACGGTTACGGTCTACTGCTAATCCTGTTCGTGATCGGCTACGGTGGACTGTTTTATCACTACGCCGCGAGATATTTCGGCAAACCACTTGGACGATGTTGCTCGCCGTACAACGATCGAGTGAAAGATTTCCGAAGGACCAAGTACGATTGACAGTTCGTTCGATAAACCGTAATCGTCGATCGTATCAGTGCTATTCTAATTAACGAATTGACAACGTTGCTCGCAGATACGGCGGAACGATTTGTAAATCGGCGATCTACGTGTGCGTGTTCGCGGCGATTATCATTTTCCTGATACTGGACACGATCGAATCGCGGGACCGGCTGATCAGCGCGGCGGGCGTGGCGATCCTGATGGGCCTGGGATGGATATTCTCGAAGCATCCCGGTCGTGTGAGTAAAATCGTATACATCATCTGTGGCTGAATTAACCATTAAACGAAATACAGTAAATGACCGAACACTTAAGTGATTTTGTGACTATTAAATTCGAATTTTAAGTGATAATAATATTAATAAATGTTTGGCACGTGAAAATTAGATTATTTCGATATCTATACCTTTTTATAACGTATAGATTAGAATTTGAAAAATTGGAAAAATCTAATCAATTAAATTAAAAGGAAGAAAAATATAAATTTCAGAGAAAATACAAAGAAAAAACAAAGAATTGAAAAGTTTAATTTACTCGTTTTTGTATATAATGTTCATTCACTGGTCTTTATTTACTGGTGCATCCACCCTAATACGAATGAACTCTTGATATGCCCATGTCGAGGATGCATTACTTCTTCAGATTTGGTGATATTAAAAATTCCCTTGCATAAAAACAATCTGTCCTCCTGTTTCTAACGGATACGGGCCTCACAAAAGTTATGACAATCGTACGATGGAATTGCTAGCTTGGCTGGTAATTTTTAGCAGTCACTCGTATGTATGGGGCACCAAAATCTTTTAAGTGCATAGGGTCTCCGAAGGTCTTAATCCGGCCCTGATCTACGGAATAATGTTAATCGTCCCTTGAACCTGCACACGCCCCGATCCACGATTTAGTTGGACGTGTCGCGCCCGATTCTTTCGAATTTTTGAATATCAGACGCGAGAGAGAGAAAGACAGATATACAAAGAAAGAGAGAAATGTGTCTGCATCACAATTGAAATATGTATCGTGGTGGAAATGAATATTTCATCGTCGCCGATATTACCGTAATCATATTTAGCATTTTACTTTCGTGGCTACGAAGACGTCTGCGTAATATAATACACTCCTCTTGCAGGCCTCGGAATAATGTAATGTGGATCAGCGAATAGGATAAATTGAGGGGTGAGAACACCATTTTTGGTTCAGAGCCAATCACAAATTTGGTCTCGTAGTAATTACTACGAAAAAATACAAAGAATTCTAACCTATTCTCATGCAAAGTCAACAAAAATGTTGAAAAAATTACAGACTACAAAGTGTCGTTTCTTCCACATCTTGCAGGAGAGATGCCAAGCTAGTGTTTCTTCTCAAGAATTTCTCGAAAAAGAGTAAAGTTGTTTTCGTAGTAAAATTAACATCTTTTTCCCATTGGAAAATATTACAGTAAATCATCGATGAGTGTTCGAAGGCTCTTCGCCAATAGGAGTCCAGACGTTCTTCCCATCACTAAAGGGTGGGGGAGGGGGGTGGAGGGAGTCCCGTGAAACCAGCCTTTGGCCCAGTGGTGGGGATAACGCCAGGACAATAATCGTGTAGAACAAGCCAAACGATAATCGAAAGATGCATGTATACCCTAACATCGAAAACGTCGAATCTTTTGCAGGTCAACTGGAGGCCTGTTCTACACGGTCTCATACTGCAATTCCTCTGCGGTCTGTTCACGATCCGATGGGCCGTCGGCAGAGCGATCTTCGAGTGTCTGGCCGACAAAGTGACGACGTTCCTCGACTTCGCGAAAAGCGGTGCAGCCTTTATTTTCTCCGATCAACTGGTCGACGACGGTGTCTTCGCGTTCTCCGTCAGTAAATAAATCCCTCTGTTCGGATACAACGGGAACCACGGGGACTTACAATAATAATAAACGACAAAACGGAAACACAAACTCTAAACATGTTCAGGTACCTAACAACATGTGCTTTCCAGACGCTGCCGGTGATCTTCTACTTTAGCTTCATCATCCAAATTCTCTACTATCTGGGCGTGATGCAATGGATCATTCTTAATCTGGGCCGTATCCTCCAAGCTCTAATGGGAACGACCATCTGCGAATCGGTGAACTGCGCCGCGAACATCTTCATCGGGATGGTATGATTGACCAAGGATCGATCGAGCCGTGAATATCGATCGAACGTGTCGTAATTCCTCGTCTGTTTTCCAGACGGAATCCCCGTTGCTCATTAAACCCTATCTGAACAAGTTGACCGCCTCCGAGTTGCATGCTATCATGTGTGCGGGTTTCGCGACGGTATCAGGTTAATCAATGAAGCGTTTAATGTAAACGATTAAAATCGTTCGTGTCGCTGACATTGTTTCCCATTTGGGACTGATGCATTGTCTGACTGAATGTGTACAGGAACGGTGCTCGCGGCGTATATCGGGTTCGGCGCGAATCCGGCTCACTTGATAACCGCGTCGGTGATGGCAGCACCGGCCGCTCTGTGCTACTCGAAGCTATTTTACCCAGAGACCGAGAAGAGCCTGGTCACCCGCGAAGACATCAAACTGGAGGAATCGTGAGTTTCTGCCCCAGATAGCACATGACGCCCAATGACGATTTAAAGGCGCCTTAGACCTAAAATAGCTGTAAAATGGGCGCCTTCAAAGCGTCTTGTGCTATTTGGATTTCAGCATTTGTTAAAATAATTCTTGTGAAAATCAAAAGTGAGATATTTAAGGTGCACAAGTTAAGTGGGACACCCTTATACGTGATCACAGCTGATGTGAGTCCTGAAATAATTATCAGAGTGTCCATTGTTCCAGGAAAGATGCTAGCTTGATGGACGCTGCGAGCAAAGGTGCCCTGGCGGCAATACCCTTGGTCCTTGGTATAATCGCGAATATCATCGCATTTGTATCGTTTATCGCGCTTGTGAACTCGTTGCTGGGTTGGCTGGGCATGCTGGTTGGCTACGATGCCCATACCATCGGTGCACCCCTTAGTCTCGAAGTAAGCTACCATAGTTTTGCTCCTTTGGGCCCTGTTCGAATCACAGCTGTTTAGACAGCTAGTCCCAATAGCCTCTTATGCTGAACAGGATACTTGCCACCTTCCGAACTTGGTCTACCAACCTACGCAAATATTGCCTCTCTCTGTTTTTGCGTTTTGTAGTTTATATTATCGAAAGTGTTCAAACCCCTGAGTTGGATAATGGGAGTGCCCTGGGAGCAATGCGAGGACGTGGCCACTCTGATTGGCCTGAAGACCGTCGTGAACGAGTTCGTCGCCTATCAGAAACTGGGAGAGTTCAAGAAAATGGGCAAAATTTACGGTCGTACAGAGGCGATCGCCACATTCGCGATCTGCGGGTTCGCTAATCCAGGATCCATCGGGATCACGTTAGGCGTGTTGACCAGTTTGGCGCCAGAACGAAAGGAGCAGATCGCTAGTACTGTGCTACGAGCCTTTGTGGCTGGTAGCGTTGTATGTTTCCTCACGGCTAGCATCGCTGGTAAGAACAAAACGATCGACCTTTCCTCGCGAACTGTTTTACTGGTCGAGCACACAGACAGACATAGAAAAACAAAGACAAAGAGACGGGATTACTTTCGGAGGACTTGCTATCTCTTTTTAATACAGCTCGGTCAATCACTCCAAATCCAAAGCCCCAGAACCTGACCCCCCCACTACTTAGATTTAAAAAGAGATGCAAAGCCCTCCGAAAGCTATCTACCTTTTTCTAAACTTGGGACTGGAGATGCGTAGTCTATATTTCTATGTCTATGGTTGAGCACAGAACTTCCACTTTTTTTATTTTCCAGGCATGCTGATAACCGACGGTGCCTTCGATAGCGTGGCGAACGTAACGACTGCGTTAAACGGGATTGTTGCGAACGCGACTACAATTAATAGGTAACTCTGACCGAGGTTACCGTGAGGTTCATTAGCTTAATCGTCGCCACCACTTATAACACTCTATTACTTAAGAGTACGTGTAAATAGATAGGGGCAAATGGAAAAAGACACATCCTTCGCTGGAACCCATTGATATTCTTGTACAATGATGGTTTTTAATAAAAACAAATTAATAAATAAGATGCGCCGAGCCGTTGAGCGTTGAACAGTCGCGGATTCTGCAGTTCGTGCAATATTAAAGGCGATAAAAGTAAAATTAGAGAAGGTACGCGACCGCGGGCCTAAGCTAAGTGTGTTTTGTACAATTTCAGATAGTATAACTATAATAATGTATATACTGTAAGTAAAAGTGTATCACAAAATGGTATAATAAGACCGTACCACGTTGGAATTATCGTGTATCACAATCTTCGAGTACGGAATGTTTCGGCGACGTGCTACGCCGAGCAGCCCCGTAAAGCAAATGCAGCATTTAATATCTCGTCGATCCGTGACCTTCGTTTCTACGGTAGATCGTGAAGTTGATGGATCTCGTAAAGACTGTGGGTACGGTTAAACACGTCGGCCGTGATCTCCAACATTTTTGGCAAGACGTCGACGTTCCTCTGGACCTCAGACCCACAAACCTTGGAAGCAAGGGCAATTGCTGTAAAAAGTATCCTAAAAAATTTTACATGTAATGACTTACCTTTTTAAACAAAAGTTCTCTGGTGGGCATTGTGTACATGGCAACCACGGCTGCTTTTCTAATCACCCATGGGTGATGCTTGGCTAAGGTTTTGTTATACGCATCCTGACAACAACTGGATGTCTTGTCAGTATCTGAGAGGTCGCCCAGTTGCCTCAGAAATTCTCTAATAAAATCTGAAAATTCATTAGATATCAGTACATGGTGTACAATGAGTTTGTGGAAGATACTTTAATACAGTATGTTACCTAATCCTCTATGAAGTCTTAACAAAGTACGTGCTCCATTCGTGTAGTCTCCCTTATCAAGGATCTTGTTCTCCTTCTCATATATTATCATAGTCTTGATAGTAGTATAATTCTGATCATCCTTGTCTATTAGTTCAATTAATACCTCAATCTTTTGTTTCAAATCAGAGGATACAAAGCTGAATACGCTGCCCATTAACTGAAAGAATCTACACACACATATTCCACTATAGTGAATATATCTTACTGATATAAAGGAATTGCAATATCAGGCGAACGAAACGTGTTAAATAAATATTGATAAGCTACACGAATTAGTTAAGGGTGAATAAGAAACAGAAGATGGTGCAAAGTGTTTGAAGGTTACGTTCAACATAAGAAACAATTGACTATCTGTTGTCTTACTTGTAGAGCTCATTGTAGGCGTCTAAGTAGGCTTTGAGATCAATATCGTCGTCCTGCACGAGGGCACGGTCAAAATGATCGTGGACCAGCCTCAGATCGAAGAAAGCTAATTCCGAGCCCTCCGCCATTTCAACGTCACTGTGTTGAGGACTGCAATTAACGACGAACCAACTACTTTGCCACGCAGGTACAACTCGAGCCACATTACGTGGTCAAAGGCACCATTTCTTATCTCTACCTCGTCATGATTACGTATTTGTTAGTCAATCGAAACAAAGAGAAAATGCTGATTGACACTCTTCTAAATCGCCAGTGACACGTGGTACACTGACGGTTAAAGTAAAAACAACTATCTGGTTTACGAGCTTTCATCAGGGTCAACGGGGTTCATGTGACCGTCGATGAAAAATTTAAATAGATCATTGCAATGAATGTTTGATAATAATTATTGCAGCTTAGTCTATGTTCTCTCAACTTCCAATTCCCTGCTCGATAAAGGAAAATTCCACAAGAAAGTATTGAAACGTCGAATTGTTTGCAATCTAGAAAATAATAAATTAAATAGCAAATAAGAAATAAACTTTTTGACCGGTGGCGCCATCCGTGGCGAATCGGTGAAACTGCTAACCAATTATATGGCTAGTAGTTTCAGCGATTCGCCACGGATGGCGCCAC